AAACACATTTTAAATATGATGAAAAATAAAGTTGCTGCAGTCATTACTATAGATGTTTTCTTTAATGTACACTAGCTAAATCAATGAACACTTCATTTCTAAAACAATGTCTATGTCTATTGGCCACCCCTTCCTCTAAGGGGCTCATGGAAGTCGTACACAGTTCTCTCTTCTCCCGGTTATCGTCATGACAACCCTGTGAAGGAAATTAGGCCAGGACTAGCCCAGAGTCAGCTAGTAAGCTTGATATCAGAGAGTAGATTTGAACCTGGATCTCCCAGATCCTAGTCTAATGGAGAAAGAACATCTGGCATTCAACCGCAACTGCACATTAATCTAAGTACAACATCACATACCAAAGAATAGAGGTGCAACTTCCCACCAGTGGGAGCATCAGTGTCAGGTAACATTCCCTCTCTTAAAAATCCTAGGATTGAGGAGAGGCACATGAAGCCTGTTCTAGGAGGGAGTCTAGTAGCCCCATCTCTATCGGCCTCAACCAAACAGGATGAACTGTGACCCAGGAAGTCCAAATCATACCCTGTTACTTCATGGCCCTAGCTAAACCATCTTCTCAACTTTAATCCTGGAAGAACAATACTGACCAGCCTAACAGGGCTACCACAAATTGATGCATGTAAAGCACTTTTAAACCTGAATTGGCACACCCATACAAATGATATTCACAGTACAAATAATACACACACAGTGCAGAGCCCTACGCAAATAAAACACGAAGCTGCCTTCTACCAAGTCAGGCCCTTTGATCGATCAAGGTCAGGGTTCTCTATTCTGATTTCCAGAGCTCTCCAGGGTCACACTACCTGATCCCTTTAAAATGAAGGTGCCAGGAACTGAACCCGATACCTACCTGCGTGCAAAGCAGATGCTGTACCACTGAGATATATCTCCTATTATAATACAGTCTATATAGCAATAATAATAAGTGGCAGTGTGGGCAGGCAACTACCTTGCAGCAATTATTCTGTACTTCCAAATATTCTATTAGAAACAGCTGTTCTAATTAGCAGTTATATGAGTGACCTCGTTGATTTGAGAAAGCAATAAAGGAGGTTACTCTCTAACAATGTTACTATTATTGGTATTATTATGACTGTTATTACTGCCAGCGCTACAAGGGCGTCCTAGCAAGGAACTCAACTATAAGCTTTGAAACGGGCAGAGGCAAGGGGGAGGCGGCCCAAAGGCTTCACTAAGCGCCTCCTCCCGCTCACTGAGGGGAAAGGGAGGCGGACCAGGCAGTGACCAAGGCCACACTGTGCCTTCTGCGCCCCCGCCATGCTGGAGTGTGCTTCTTCTCTAGCCTCAGCCTCTAGCCACTCACCCTCCAGCGGCAGGACAGCCAATATCTACCGGGAGGGCTGCCTGCCTCCCTGCCTGGCTCCACCGCCCTCAGCGTTGACAACTGCCGCCGCCAAGCTCCACTCGATCGGCAGCGAGCGGGCGCTTGACAACAGACCCCCTGACAACAAACCTCGTAATTGACTCCTCCATCGCCCACTCACAGCCTCTCGCTTCACCTTCCGGTTCGCCTCTCTTGCATGAAACGCTTCTTCCGGACGCGGCCTCTGCCGACCTAGTCCCGCCTTCTTTTGTCAGAATGACCAATCGGCGGAAACGGTAGTGTCGCCTTAGCAACCGCGCCTTGCTCCGCTTCGTAGAGGCCTTTACGGTGGTACTGCCCCCTCCCCAGTTGCTTAATAATTTTATGTGAATATCAACAATATGGTTACAATGCAACAATGCAATACCAGAGATAGCGACACAGTAATACATACTAAAACACTCTCAAAACAGTATGTGAGCACTTCCGAAAATAAACCTGGTCAGAACACGTGGTGTCTTTAGCGTTGCCACTCTGGGGTGGAAAATATCTGGAGACTTTGGGGGTGGATCCAGGAGAGGAAGGGGTTTGGGGAGGGGAGGGGCCTCAGCATGGTACAATGCCATAGAGTCCACCCATCAAAGCAGCCATTTTCTCCAGGGTGGCCTGTGAAGGAGCCACCTCCTCCAGGATCATATAGTTTGACATAACCACCAGCCTACATAAACGCCATCATAAATACTCTTGACACCATGTTTTCACAATAAACGTTTGGTTCTACCTAGAGGGGGATGGATGGCTGCGTAATCACAGCTACTCAAAAGTTCTCGGTTTCTCTATTCTCTGTTTCTCTGGAGAACACCAGGCTGTGGCTCAGTGGAAGAGCCTCTGCTTTGCATGCAGAAGGTACAATGAGGCTGAAGTTGGTTCCTTATTCCCAGTTCCTTATTCATTCCTTATTCACAACTTATTCATGAATTCAACCAAAAACACTGAGAAGAGTTTGAAAGTTCTGAACCCAAAATATGGTCTGGACCACCACACATCATACACCCCCAGGTTCACAGGATTCTCCCCTTCAAGGGGATATATCCTGTTTCCTGGTCCAAAGCACAGTTCTTGTGCTAGCTGCTCCAAAGTGGAGTACCCTTAAGACAATCACACAGGCAGACACTTGGGCCACGAAACAATATGGACCACGCCAAATGATACATCCCTACACTCTGGTGTCTATATAGTGAGGGTTATCTAATACAATGTAGCCATCATTTAGTATACCACTGAATATTACTAAAATGCCAAAAAGAAGTTATTCCCACACCTTTTTGTCTCTTCCTGTGGGTGGCATGCTGTGGGTGGCCCAGCATAAAAAAAGCTCCCCAAAATTCTTCAGGCTGCAGTAAAAGCAATACTAGTTAAATTGCTCATTCGAGGATTATCATTAAATCAACCCCTTCCAGCAGATCAGCCTTCTCAACCTACATCTTGTTTGGACTGCATTTTAGCTACATCAATGAATTCAGTCTAGGGTCACTGATTCAAGACAGAGACAGGATACTTAATTAATGTAATATGGAGTTGTCATCAGCATATTAATGACACGCAAACATCCAGCTTATCTTGTTCAATGACTGCTTCAGCATCTTAAGCAGTGTGGTAACTTTTACTCTCACAAAAAACTCTTCCCTGTTATAATGGGAACTTAAGAAGATCCTCCAGGTTCTCCAAGGAACACCTTATCCCCTGAATCATCCTCTGTATACTTTGACATATACCCTTATGCTGTTGATAGCCCCCTAAAAATCAGTGTAATACTGCCTCTAACTTCCTTGGAATCCCTCCTAATAACCCACTTTTCCCACAGAACTTTGGGTACAAGCCCTTATCCCCCCCCCCCCACATTCTGGGCCAAAATGAAGCTTGAGGACATGTAACAGAAATGAAAAGATGTTTTCACTGCAGTTGCAGTCAGGAAATAGCACTTTGGCTGAGAGCGTCTAGTATTGCTATCCCCAGGTTTCTGACTGGAACTGTGAGAGTGGCTTACAACCCTGCTGTGAATTCCATGGTGAGCTTCCTCACACTGTAGATGGAGCTAGAGGGAGTGTAATTTATCCTAGCCCTGCCATGTAGCATCACTGTTCATTTAAGATCATCGTGCACACACAGCCCTGGGAATGGGAGCATCACTAACCAGGTTCTCGTGTGCTTAAAGTGCTGTGCTGGGGATTATTTCTCCACCCTCTCTTCACAGGCAGCTAGTTCTCCAAGATTCCCCCCCCCCCCATTGTCCTCCTCTGGTGCATTCAAAGCCTACCCCGTGAATCCACTGCCTTCTAGTGGATTGGCCATAGCTGCAACTCATGTGTGTATAAACGATTCATGCCACCCATTCTATCCTTTTTATCACTATGTGACCACGTGGGAGCAACACGGAGATGTGTGGGTAGAATGACTCCCATCATGGGCACTGAGAGATAGATAGTGGCCCCTCTGGCAGCCAGTTTGACTGGGCACCTCCATGGAGATCTGTCAGAGGCAGAAGCACAAGGAATTCATCTGCACCATGCCTGATGCATTAGGTGGATCCCCGCCAAAAGATGCTTAACATTTGACAAAGGGAATGCTGTGGATTAATTTCAGTTAGGCTTAGTTTCATCAAGGAAGAGTTTGTGCCAAAGGTTTCATGGGGAAAATGGGTCCCAGAGAAAGATGTGAAGGAAGCATGAGAGTATGCTTCACACGGGTGTTCTGGCAAACAATTCCAGGCATTAGGGGCAGCAAGGGAGGAGTTGGCTAAAGGTCACACTTTATTACTAAACATAGGCCTTTTTGGCATTTCCCCCCCCATTGGTTCTGGCCCCATGTTGTTGTTGTTGTTCAGTTACACAGTCAACTCTTGACTCTTCACAACTCCTTGGGACCACCCTTCTGTCCACCGTAATTTGCTCAACTTCATGTACATTGCATCTATGACACTGTCCAACCATCTCATCCTTTGACGTCCCCTTCTTCTTTTAGCTTCAGTCTTTCCCAGCATCAGGGTCTTCTCCAGTGAGTGCTGCCTTCTCATTTGGTGGCCAAAGTATCTGAGCATCAGCTTCAGTATCTGGCCTTCCAGGGAACAGTGAGGGTTCCCTATAGTGCTTTGGTTTACCCCAGTTTCTGCATGCATTTTTGTGCCTTTAGTTTTTGCTTCTTTTTTTATCGTTCCCCCCCTCCCCCCAATTTTTTGAGACCACTTTTATCCCAATCTTTTTCTGGAAGCTGATTTTGAGTCGGCTTTTTCCTTGTGCATAAGGTTTCTATAGTTTTCTTCGTCCCACCTGCTCCCACCCAGCTCCAACCCACCTTTCCAAAGACAGTACTTGTTATCATCATCATCAAACCACTCCTTCTCTTCTCCTCCTACCCTAAAGACAAGTGGGTTTGGGTTTTTTTATTTTTAAAGGCACTAAAACAGAGGTGTCAAACTCATTTGTTATAAGGGTCGGATCTGACATAAATGAGACCTTGTTGGGCCGGGCCATGTGTGTCTTAAAATGTAATACCAGGTAGCGGAGATATAAACTTTATAAAGTACACGAACGCAATTAAAGTTTTAAATTTAAAATAAAACATGCTTAAAACACTAGCACTCTTGTAATATTTTGTTAATTTAACAGTCTTTGATAACTGACACCTTGCATGAGGCATCTAGCAGTGTGTAGGCAGGCAAAATTGCTTCCAGCAACCAGACACATCCCACCGCCAAAGCAGGGCATGTGGGGCCTGAAGAGAAAGCAAGAGCACCCTTTGATACTGGATAGCCCTGAGGCCCATGGCTTCTTCTTAGCTTAACGGCTACGATAGCAGCTCCCTTGGCAGGGTATTGAACCACAGGACCGTGTGTGGTAGCCGTCCCTCCCAATCTACAGAAAAGAAGGAAGGGGTGAGCAGGTACCCAACAACGGTTACCGGTGAAGCTGTCCCGGTGAGGTGAATGGTTGTTTGAAGTCACTCAATGGTTCCACCCTTCCCTGGACCTCTGGATGAGGCCTACATCACTCTGCCTCACGGAAGCAGAAGAATCCATTCTCCCACGTCACTTTGCCACCTATGTAGATACAACAATTTGGGCTGAGGGGGCCAACACCGCCCCTCAGAGCAGACATTGGTCCCTCCATTCAGCTACAGATACCCTCTGTGAACTCATGAAGAGTGGTCTCTCCCCACTTCCCATCAACAAGCAGGAAGGAAGGCCTGTGATTTAGGGGATCAGAGTCCTTGAAAGATCCTTTCTGGAAGACGACACTTCCCTCCAGTATTGTCAAACCCTGTGCCTGGCACAATGCCTCAGCCTCCTTGAGGCTGTCCGTGGCCAGCAGGCGGGCCAGACAATCCAAAGGGTAGCGGCAGTTCCTGCTGCTGAAGCCATGGCTGAAGGTGTGCAGGGCTAGGCGGCGGGCCCCGGCCACGTGCGGATGGAGGGCACAGCTCTGTAGGTAGGGCAGCTCCCGAGCCAGGCGGAAGAAGCGGGCAAAGTTGCGCTCCAAGTAAGCCAAGCTGATCGCCCGTGCTGTGGAAAGCTCAGGGGAGGCTCGGATGTGATGGGGGAGCCCTAAAATCTGCCAGAGAGCATCTGGGCTGCCTGTGGATAGGAGAGAAAAGTAACACAAAGTCATGGTGATGTTATTTCCAGTCCTTACAGCCAGCATTACAGGGAGACATTCTGGGGGATTATCTGGAGCGCCTGACTGGATCCTAAAGCTCGATATTTTATTTAGTTATTTATTTTATTATTTGTTTGTTTATTTAACACATTTATTAGCCGCCCTTTTGCTTTGCAGAATGCAGGACAGCTTGGGTGTGTGTTAATTCCCGTCAAGTCACTGCTGATTTAGGGCAAGTGTACGACCCAATGAATGAATGACATCCAAAACATCCTATCATTAACAGCCTTGGTCAGGTCCTGCAAACGGAGCGCTGTTTTCTTGACTGACTCACAAGGCAGTGGGGATTTCGGTATTTTTAAATAGTTGTTTTATTTACATTGTAAGCTGCCTTGCAATGTAAACAAAACAGCTATAAAAATACTGGGAAGACCACAGTCTCAGCACTGCAGTCATGTGCTGCCAGCAAAGGGTGCCCACATACAGAGCAACCTGGGAGCATGCCCCACTGAAAGGATGTATCCCATGGGGGTCCCTCCCTCCCAGGTTCCCAAACACTGTTAAGTGGTGAGACTTTACTGCAAAAACAAGAGCAATGGTGAGAAGTTGCTTCCCTTGAACCTACCCAGCATTTCGAGATCGCCTCACATGCTCAAAGCCCTTCTGACGCATTCTCATGCAACCCTTACAACAACCTTGCAAGATGGACCAACCTGATTACTCCTGCACTGCATAAGGGCAGGGAAAGGGGCAAAAGGCGCTCTCTAGGGCCACCTGAAGACTGTAGCAAATTGGAACGATGGACCGCAATCACAACTCTTGCCCAGGATCCTACACATCCGCCCAGCCTCCCTCGGCTTACCCAGGTTGTATAGCAAGAAGAGCGCTTGGAAGAGGGGCTCGGCGGCGGCGCGGTCCTCCTCCTCGTCCCGGTAGGCGCGGCGCAAGACAGCGAAGCACTCCTGGACCTGGGCTCGGTGCAAGTGGGCGTCGAAGCGGGCGGGCGGCTCTCCGCAGAGCTGGTGTCCGGCGCGGAGCAGGTAGACGAGCGAACGCTCGAGGACCGCCGCGCAGGGCAGGCCGGAGGCGCGCTGCACGGTGAGGTCGAGGCGCACGGCGCGCAGGCGGTCAGTGACGAAGGCGCACTGCTCGGCGACGGACACGTCGGGACGCCAGCGGGCCGCTTCGCCCAAGAGGTGCCGCACCGTGGCCAGCAGCACCGGCGGCGGACGCAGCTCCTCGGGCCGCGAGCGCTCCTTGCCGGCGGCCGGCCGCGAGTACTCCTTCACCGCCTGCTCGGGCGGCCCCCGCTCCAAGACATGCAGCCGTCCCTGGCGCCGCCGCAGCGCTAGCTCGCCGGCCGGGCACATCTCCTGGCAGGTGCCCGTCGGGACCTCCTCGAAGCCGCCCATGCTGCGGAAGGCAGGGCGAGGGGCGGCGCCAAGCGTCGTCGCCCGGAAAGGGGCAGCCCTGGCCCTGGTCGGCCTCTTGTCTGCGACGACGCCCCGTTTGGCGCGGAGCGGGAGCTCCACCGGTCTCACGCTTGGGACTCGAGTGCCTGCCCGCCGCGTGAGATGAAAGGGGAAGGGTCCGGGAGGTGAATCGGAGCCGGCAGAGTTTTCTATGCATGCAAATCCTTCTAATTCCAAGTGCGCCTGTGCCGGACGTTATCCTTGCCTCTGGGAAGCAAAAGCAGGAACCAAAACTTTAGATTAGAGTCCAGGAGCACCGTAGAGAGACCAACCAGAGTTTCAGGGTGCCAGCTTTCCAGAATTAAAGTTCGCTTCGTCAGACAGGGCAGTATCCCCGATCCTCCACTTTTCCCAGTTAAGGGGGAAATGCTGTTCAAATAAATTACAAAAATGACTTGACTCCAGTGGTAACAAGAGAAATAAATTTTACTTACAAAAACAGAAGCACACCTTACATGACATATTCATGTAGGTACATTTAACTTATTCTCAACAGATTAACTCCACAAAAGGTTAATTTACTACAGCTCCAATCCCAGTTAAGAGAGAGAAGAGAGATCCTATATCAGATAAAACAGAAGGCAAGCAAGGGCCAAGGAGGCTCAGCATCTAACCCATGAGAGCCTGGGGCCAGCTGCCAAGTGTACCCAGCAGAGAATCCTCTTAATCCCTTCCAGGGGTCATTTCGTAGAAAAAGAGGTGCAGGAGCTCATTAGCATAACTCATTAGCATAACTTATTTGCATATGCCACGCCCCCTGACATCACCGGAAGTGTGTCAGAAGGCAACACCCACCGCTCAGGCTCCACTGGACTGTTTTGGATTGCTAGCTATTGGAGGGGGGGGGGAACGTGCAGATCTGTCCTCGCAGAGGAGGGAGAGCATGTACCTGAATAAAACTTGGTCTTAAAGTTGCCACTGGACTGTTTTGGACCGGGAGGCCGGGGGAAGCTCTGCAACATACCTGGCTGCTTCTTGCTCTGACTGAGGGCTGCTGGGAGCAGGGGGTGGGGCTTGTTGCATGTGCCCGCCCCCTGGGCTCTTTACTGCCGGAGCTCTGCTCCTGTGCGCTCCTGCAGGAAATGACCCCTGATCCCTTCCCTTCCAGGTCCTCTAGGGTGCAGAGGTACAAAAGGCCCCGGTCACAAGGACTGGATAACGTGGGGGGGGGACTTTTTGCGCCACCACCATTAGAGCCGCCATAAAGCGATCCCACGCATCAGCGGCACGCCACAGTTTCGTCCCTCCGCGCCTGCGCATCAACAAGGGGCCAGAGGGAACAGCCGTGGTGGCGCAATCACACCGAGGGACTCCGGAGGCAGCCCGTGACAAACCGGTTGCTAGTACCTTCGAGCAGGTAGTTTTTAATCACGCATTTTCGGCGGAAGCCACGGGTTTGCCACAGGTCTTCCCAGATGTTGTGGTGTGATTGCACCTGGATAATCCGCCATGCAATCGTTGCTCTCCCGCGGCAAATCCTCCATGTGAACAGGGCCAATATCTAACAAAAAATCAGAGGCAGCAGAACAGACTGCGCCTGGCTGCAGATAGAGGATCACATTTTGGAATGGTTCCTTGTGCTAACCCTCCCTTCAAATGGAGGATGTTTTTGTTGTTGTTGTTTTATAATGTGAAGGAACTTTGAAAGCTGAAACTCACCATCTGCGGTCTTAACTCATTATGCCTTCTGAAAAGTATGGGGTTCGCCGCATGGAGGACTCGGACAACAACATGCTGTAGCACACGTTTATTGTACTTCACATAGACAAAGACTAACTCTAACGGCCAACAGGGCCAACTATATACATATCCACCAGCCACCCCCCCACTCCCATTGGAGGGTTTAAATGTCCCACCAAGGTGGCTATTGGTTGGGGCTGGGGAATCCAGGATCCGAAGTTTCCTTTGTTTTCGGATTCAAGCTCTGGCCTGTCCGCGGACCCCTGGAGGCGGTCCACGTACATAACACCTTCAGAGAGTTTTGCTGCTTCTTACTTTTGCATTTTGTGGACCAGGTTAAGCTGCAAGGCTTCATGTCTCACTTTTATACTTAATATATCATGTTATCATACACCCAGAGGAAGCTACATTCAGGTGGGTAGCCGGGTTGAACTGAAGCAGCAGAACAAAGTCAGTCCAGTGGCACCTTTAAGACCAACAACATTGTATTCAAGGTATAAGCTTTCATATGCAAATTTATACCTTGTGCAAGCTTATACCTTTTGTGTCTGAAGAAGTGTACTTGCACACAAAAGCTTATACCTTGAATAAAATTTTGTTGGTCTTAAGGGTGCATGCCACTGAACTCAAACTGTTGTCCAAAGGAAGCTAGTACACAGTCCCTGCTCCGTATGAAGAAGTGTGCAGACACACAAAAGCTTATACCCAGGATTAAACTTTGTCAGTCTTAAAGGTGCCACTGGACTCAAATGTTGTTCTGTTGCTTCAGACCAACATGGCTACCCACCTGAATCTATCTGCTCCTTATATTTATCTAATCCCTTCTTGAAGCTGTCTATGTTTGGACTGGTAGCAGTTACAAGGCAAGACAGCTTCAAGAGGGGACTGGATAAACATATGGAGCAGAGGTCCATCAGTGACTATTAGCCAGAAGGTATAGATGGAGCACTATGTCTGGGGCAGTGATGCTCTGCGTTCTTAGTACTTGGGGAGCAACAGTGGGGGGGCCCCACTGGTGGATCTCCTGATGGCACCTGGTATTTTTGGCCACTGTGTGGCAGAGTGTTGGACTGGATGGGATGCCTTTGGACTGGGTGGGATGAGAGGACATTAAACCCACCCTCCTCCCTGTGCTGAAGCTGATGTGTAGCTGGCCTCCCAAACCTTTGTAATGCAGGATGGGGGAGCCCCCTCCCCTGCGTGGCACGCATGAGGAGACTCAATTGGTTGCGGCACTGTGGCACCGGTCACACGGAGAATAAGGTAAGCGGAGTGGACGGATTAAGGGTGGCTCAAACCGGTGCGATCAGACGCCAACATCTGGCAAGCATCATGCACCCGCCCCTAACCCGTCGCATCCGGCCAAAAATGCGGATCGAAAAGGTACTAGGGAAAATGGAGTACCTACCAGAAGATCCGCAGCAACGGCAGGCATGGGATCGCGGACACTCCGGCAGCCTGTAGCATCCTGCAGCTGTCCGCGATCCATACATGCGCACTAACACGGGAACACGTGTTGCCTCGCTGGGACTATGCTGTTGCCTCCCCAGTGTGATTGGGTGCCAACGGAGGGAGAACGGAGCTGCGGGGGAGCGTAAGATCGCGCTCCCGTGCTTCTTTTAGCTCCGCATCTAATATGCCTCCCTTCCCCAACGGATTTTCCCGCTCAATCCCGCTCGTGTGACCGGGGCCCGTGTCAGACTGTGAATGGAAGCCTGTATCCTGTTGCGGTTACTTTCCCACCCACCTCAGTAGCCCTCAAAATCACCACTAGAGGGCACTGCATTAAGTTGTTCAGGCTTCTTTCACAGTTCAGTAAAATGTCAACGGCTTTAAGTTTATAGATTTCAACACTCCGCATCAAAGTTGTCATTAAATTTTGGAAATAGTGAAGGAATTTGCACTGTCTCTTAGCCACAGACTTCAGAGGGGCACTATAGAGAATCTGAGAGACAGATAGGTCAAGACGTTGAGCATCCCTCCTTTCTACTGCTCTGATGTTATCCTCTTTGTCAACTCTCACCCATGCATAATTTTATAAACCTTTATCATGTCCCCCTTTAGTTGTCTCTTTTCTAAACTGAAAAATCCCAAACTCTTCAGCCTTTCCTCATAGGGAAGGTGCTCCAGCTCCTTAATCATCCTGGTTGCCCTCCTCTGTACTTCTTACAGCTCTGCAATGTCCTTTTTGAGATATGGTGAACTGTACACAGTATCCCAAATGAGTCTGCATCATAGATCTATACCGGGGCATTACTATGTTAGCTGTTTTATTCTCAATCCCTTTCCTAATAATTCCTAACACAGAGTTTGCCCTTTTCACCGCTGCAGCACCCTGGGTTGACACTTTCATTGAGCTATCCACTACGGACCCGGATCTTTCTCCCTCTCTCTCAGCAAGTTCAGACCCCATTCGTCTATGCTCAAAGTAGGGATTTTTTTGTCCCGGAATGCATTGTCTTACACTTACCAACATTGAACTTCATTTGCCACATTTTTCACCCACTCAGTTTCTGGAGATCCTCTTGGAGGCCTTCACAGTCAGCCTTGGTCTTCACCATCCAAAATAATTTTGTGTCATCTGCACTACTTGCCCCTAGTTCCAGATCATTTATGAATAAATTAAGTAGTACTAACCCCAAAACCGATCCTTCTGGGACCCCACTGCTTACTTCTCTCCGTTGTGAGAACTGTCCGTTGATTCCTACTCTTTGCTTACTATCATTTAACCAGTTTTTAATCCGTAAGAGAACTTGTCTTCTTCTCCCATGACTGCTAAATTTACTCAGGAGTCTTTGGTGAAGTACCTTATCAAAAGCCTTTTGAAAGTCCAGGCATATAATGTCTACTGGATCACCATTGTCTACATGCTTGTTCACTTTCTCAATTTTAGTACTGCTGAAGCGAGCACACTTGTTCACTTTCTCAAAGAACTCCAAAAGTTGGCGAGGCAGGCTTTGTTCCTCTATGTGCCTAACAATTCTTTGATTACAATTTCTACAGATTTGCCTGGGACAGACATTAGGCTGACTGGCCTGTAATTTACTGGTTCCCCTCTGGATCCCTTTTTAAAAACGACTGTGCTACTCTCCAGTCTTCTGGTACAGCAGATGAACTTAGTGATAGGTTAAATATAAAAGTGAGTAGATCAACTGTCTCACATTTGAATCCCCGTGCTGTCACTTATCGGCTTTTAATTTCCCCATTAGGTCTAGAACTTCATATCTGGTCACTTCAATTTGGCTCAGTTCTTCAGACTCCCTTCCTGAAAATAGTCCTGCACCTCCACCCATTTAAAGCTAGTTAATGAGATTAGAATTCCGTCTCTATCCTGTCTAGAATGGAGCTCGTTACAATAAAGGATTCATATTAGTTTTGCAAAGATAAAAAGGCTCTGTGTGTAACTTTGTTTCTCAGCAGCACACACATACCAGGTAAATTCTGCAGTGTCATCTGCCTTTGAGCACTCTGTGAACCCAGTATTTCATCAGAATTTTGGAAATAGTTTCTACCTTCAGATTGCAACTGATCAGCTAAAAGTCGTCCACCCCAACAGCAAATTGTAAACATAAGCCTCTCATCCCTTGGGCCAAAATTTTCAGGTCGCTCTTACCCATTTTTCTTCTAGCCTTTTTGAAATCATGACTGCTTATCTGCCTCACCTAGGAGATTCTGTTTCAGATCTCATATTCATTAGACCACTCTTAGCGGCATAGCAGTTAAAGAGTGTCAGAGGACGTTCTGCCATGAAACTTGCTAGGCAACCTTGAGCCAGTCACCGGCTCTTCTTAACCTACCTCACAGGATTGTTGTGGACATAACATGGGGAAGTAAAAACCATACACACCACCCTGAGCTCCCTGGAAGAAGAGCGGAAGGAAAGTGGGATAGGTGAGTATACATAATAGAATCCATTCTTTACAGACCATTTCTGCAGTAGTGAAATTCCCCGCACTGACATTTTAAAAACTGCACGTTATGTGAAATTTTCCACAGCAGATTTTTTCTCACCGGACACAAACCCAAAGTTTTCTCGTTCTTACCCCACATTTTCGGAACTCGGTAAACCCAGGGATTCCAAAAGAAGAAGAAGAGGAGGAGGAGGAGATTGGATTTATACCCCGCCCTTCATTACCCGAAGGAGTCTCAGAGTGGTTTACAATCCCTTTCCCTTCCCCTCCCCACAACAGACACCCTGTGAGGTAGGTGGGGCTGAGAGACCTCTGCCGAGAAGTGCCCTTGAGAGAGCAGCTCTGAAAGAACTTATAACTGACCCAAGGTCACACTAGCAGCTGCATGTGGAGGAGTGGGGAATCAAACCCAGTTCTTCCAGATTAGAGTCTGCACTCCTAACCACTACACCAAACTGGCTCTTACCCCAAAAAAGCGGGGTAAGAAGGAGAAAACTTTAGGTTTGTGCCTGGTGAGGATAAATCTGCTGCAGAAAATGACACATAATGCAGAGTTTTAAAAACGTCAATGCGAGGAATTTCACTACTGCGGAAATGGTTGCAGTAGAATGCTAAAAAATAGTCCCAGCTCTGATTGTGGATGGCCCAATCACATCAGCTCTTGGAAGCTAAGCAGGGTCAATACTTGGATAGGAGACCCCACCCCCAAGGAAGTTCAGGGTTGCTATGCAGGGGCAGGCAAAAGCAAACTACCTCTGTTCATCCCTTGCCTTGAAAACCCAACAGGGTCGTCGTAAGTCGCCTGCGACTTGATAGCACTTTCCACCACCAAAAATTGGTCCAGGCTTAACTGTAAAGCCACTCCCTGTAAATGTTTTTTAAAGAGTTTAAAATCACTCTTGTGGTAAAACCAGAAGCAGGTAAGGTTTATATTTTTGCAAAAAGGACATCACATACCCCACTGAAATGTTTAGAAGATCTTTCAGGGGTTGTTTTGCTCCCACCACTCCAGAGCCACCGACTATCAGTGTTAAAACTCCTTGGGGGCATGTGAAAATTGAGACGTCCTTTGGAATATGCTGCTGAGGCAACACCTCTTGCCTATCTATTGCGCACTCACATAATATGTAGAGAAAACACACAAAGGCTCTCTGAGTTGACCATAAAACTGGCTGCATTGTGTTGCTGGAAGCTTCACTGTGCCTCCTGTCCCGCCCCCCCCCCCCTTCCCTGGAATTCGTTTTGAACAATAGCAGCTGAAGGCTTCTCCCTGCAGCCAGAAGCTACATGAGTCAGCTGTCAGAGCTGCCATAAGGCCCAGCCTGTCATACGATTCTAACCCCCCTGAACAAAGAGCATTCTGATTCCATCCAGCTTTTGATGGAATGTCATTCAGCTTTTCTGGAGGAGCTGCAAGTGGGAGCAAGTCAGGAGTGAGTTTTGCTGCTGGAAGCGCAGGCAAACAACTGGCTCTCTGGCCTTCTCGGCAGAGGCTGCAGCGATCCTCCCTTGCATCATATATGTGTGTGTGTGTGTCCTTAAGCTGAATGTTTGTGAACAAGGAGCTTTTTGCAAGATTCTTCTTCTGGCTACAGTCCCCCGAGCACAATTGGCAGAGGAGTAACTGCTGTCAGCGGGACGTAATTCTGAGTCAACCCTTATGGGATTGCGCCATCTGTCCTTATTATATCCTCCTAGTGTGATCACTGACAAAGCAGCAGAAAAGGGGAAGCGACATGGAGCACATCTGTTGACGAAGGTGGTTTCAGGCAGGTAGCTCTGTTGGTCTGCAGTAGCACTGGAAAGGCCACCAAGGTTTCCAGGGTATCTGACAAGGGGAACTTTGACTCCCAAAAGCTTATTCCCTAGAAATCTTAAGTCTTCAAGGTGGTACTGGACTCAAATCTTACTCTGTTGATGAAGCCGCTCACAGGGACAACACACAATGGTTGTGATATGTCTTATTCCTCTCTTGAAGTGGGGTGGATCTTTCCTTTTTTCCTTATATTTCACTTCATAACCAATGTATTACTCCCTGGACGGATAGCCTACAGAACATTTCAGAACAACAGGAACTAAAGATATTATTGTCCGGCAATATTTTTTAAAATGTGCATGTGACTTTGCCATATTTATCAATGCAATTACAAATCATTTATAAAAACTTCCGGTGTATGGCTGGCAGGCTGTTAAGTTACAGGGAAAGGAAGTGGGGTAATGAACAATATGCCCCACAGAAGGTAAGCTCTCTAACCCTGGTTCTTATAAGAACATAAGAGAAGCCATGTTGGATCAGGCCAATGGCTCATCCAAGCCAACACTCTGTGTCACACAGTGGCCAAAACCTAGGGGCTATCAGGAGGCCCACCAGTGGGGCCAGAACTCCAGAAGCCCTCCCACTGTTGCCCCCCAAGCACCAAGAATACAAAGCATCACTGCCCCAGACAGAGTGTTCCATCTATACCTTGTGGCTAACAGCCATGGATGGACCTCTGCTCCATATGTTTATCCAATCCCCCCTTGAAGCTGTCCATGCTTGTAGCTGCCACCTCTTCCTGTGGCAGTGAATTCCATATGTTAATTACTCTTTGGGTGAAGGACTTTTTTTTTATCTGTTCTAAGCTTTGTTGTTGTTCAGTCGCACAGTCGAGTCCGACTCTTCGCGACCCCATGGACAAGATCCCGCCAGGCCCTCCTGTCTAAGCCCTCCTGTTCTAAGCCTACTGCTCATTAATTTCATTCCACCCTGGCACTGTGGCTCAGTAGAAGAGCATCTGCTTGGCATGCGGAAGGTCCCAGGTTCAGTCCCCGGAATCTCCAGTTAAAAGGGACCAGGCAGGAGGTGGTGTGAAAGACTCTCTGCCTGGGACCCTGGAGAGCTGCTGCCAGTCAGACTGGACAATACTGACTGTGATGGACCAATGTTCTCATTTAGTGTAAAGCAGTTTCACATATGGAGGGGGATTCTGGGTTTTCATTAGCTTCAGATACAAACCTTGATTCAGCAGCCCCACTCTTGGCAGGAAGCAGTGGTGAACTTGGGTTTTCCACTTTAAACCAAGAGGAAGGAGACTGCGGGAACAGAGAGACTCCTCTGTGCTCTCTCGGTATTTCGGATCCGGGCACTGCAGCGCTCATCATCATCTCCCAACGACACGAACGGCCCACTCCACTTCCCCCCACATCCCTGCCCCACAAAGTGAACATCCAGAGCAAAAGCAGATGCAATGGGTATAAATTAAAACAGGGCACTGGAAAGGTTTACAAACATGTCTTTGGACAGTGTGGATCAAATCCTCCACCCACCAACAGTACAGCAAGGAAAGGTGAAGTTGAGTGGTCACATCTACTCTGGCCGGTCGAGGCCAGGATAAGGGCAGTGGCTGCTGAAGGAGCAGAGGGTGGCTTCTTCCTAAGGCGGCGGCGGCAGCAGCAGCAACTCAGCAAGGGACACCCCGCGCTGACGTGTGCCCACCAGGGGTGCCTCAGAAGCCACCCCTCAAAGGTGTAGATGCTTCAGGTGTTGCTGGAAGATCTCCTCAGCCCTCCGCAAGTATTCCGCTGTCTTCTTCTTCACAGCCTCC